GGGTAGAGAGAATGGTGCAGCAATGGAGGAATGAAAACCCCAAATCCCTGTAAATGTTCATTAAAACTAATAAAATTTAATAATAATAAAAAAAAGATCCCCAAAAGAACACTACAGAAGGTAATCAAATACAAATACCTCTTGAATCTCAATTTTCCTTCTCTCCTTTTCTTTGCTGAATGGCCTTGCATTATCCTTAATGTTAAGAAGTCTGGTTATCTCTTCCAGTTCTGTCTTTGCCTCAACAATATTTGGGTCCAATAAGAGAACTTTGTTGAGATCATGTAAGCTCTTCTGATAATTCTGAAAGCAGAAAGAGAAAATAATTATTAAAAATTGTACCCTGAACCTTGGTGGGAGTGGAAAATAAGTCACACAAAATGTGTGCAGTGGGTCCTCTTTCTCGCTATTATTACACACACGGCACTAGTAAAATACTACAGCCCATAAGCAGTGAGCTCTTCAAGAGAAAGCAAAGAATCAGGGGCTAACTGACTCAAGTTCAATTCTGTATCACCATGACCTTCACAGTTTCTCAAATACAGTCCTTTATATTAACACTTACTAGCAGTGAAACTTAAATAAGATTCTACTCACACTTTCTGAACTTCACTCCATTGCATTTTCTCGCCTTTAGAGATTTTTTTTAAATCTTCCTATTCTATCATTTACAAGGCTGTCTCAAGTAGTAAATAAGAAAATAATAAATGTGGTTTCAATCCTATAAAGAGCTACACAAAGGTTAGTTATTATAACTATTATAACTCTCCAAAGAGGTACAGTGTTAAAAATAGGATACAGTCAACATTTATCATACCATTAACAAGTCAGAAAATACACAAGAGAGAAAGAAAGAGGGAGAGTCTAAGGTCAACAAGATATGATAACTGAACCTGACTGATGCTGCAAGGCACAGTCCACTGTGACAAGTCTTATTCTAGAACACAAAGAAGACCTATATTTTGGATTAACCAAAAATAACTTAGTGAACAAGCAAAGAGCCACAATGATGTGTAACCTCTCCAAGGCTTCCCGACACATTCACGAAGCGCACTGGCAGCTGCACCAGAGATAAGCTAGTGGTTCTGTGACATTCCTGAAGGACTGGCCCTAACTCCACACCCCTTCACCTTCACCTCAACAATGCATCAGAGTTAAGGGTAGGATATTTAAAGGGATAACCTTGACTATCAAACAGAAAGAAAAATGCACAATTGGCAGAGGAGAAGCTAGACTGCTGAGATCTTCTAAGAATTAGATCCCTTAATACATCAAAAGATCTCTCTAAAAGTAAAAAGAGAACGTACTGCCTGGGGAAAATATTAGGCAATGACACAGGAAAGAAAGGACTCATCTTAAAAATATATTAAAAACCTCGAACACCTCAACAAGAAAAATACAATCACAAAATGAGCATGTTATTGTTACATGCTGTCGATTCGGAACCCACTCAGCTGACTCTTCAATGGCTAAACAGTGGTCAGGCTCATTCACTGAAAAAAATATTCATTAAACATAGCCATGTGCCAGGAGCCGAGAATAAAACTGAACACAGTGCCACTAAGTCGATTAGGACACAAAGCAATCCCACAGGACAAGGCAGAATGCCCGACGGAGTTTCCAAGGCTGCAATCTTTATAGAGGCAGACTGCCACCTCTCTCTCCCATGGAGTGGCTGGTGGATTCAAATCACCAGTCATTCAGTTATCAACCAGCCAACAGAGCTCCTTGGAGCTGAGAATAGCGTGGCAAAGACAGGAGTGGTCCCTGTCTTCACCGAAGCTTGTAATCTATGTAGCGGGGGTGCAAGACAAAAAAAAAAACAACAAGTTAACAAATGACTAAAATTTGTGCAATTAAGAAAATGAAAGATTGGAATAGATACCTAGGAAGGAGAAAGGGTCTCTTTTTGATACAGTTATTAGAAGACACCAAGGTAGAGACCACAATGCAGAGACCAAGGAAAGAACAGAGCTTCTAGGTGAAGAACAGGCAAGACTGCTAGCAGCCTCCTTGGGCCTACAGAGTCCAACCGCAGATGTCTGTGACTGTGTCTATTATTATTACTAGATAAGCTTCAATTGGAATAATTGTAAGACTCTCCTCTCTCACTTTCTTTGCCTTCTGGCATCAACTGACCAAGCTCCTGAAGGAAGGCACTCTGTCTTATCCATCTCTGTACTCCCAATACCAAGCTCTTTCTCGGTACTTGGTAAAAGCAATAAACTGTAAATAGCAGCAAAATGCTCAGTTGGCTTTTCTTGTGAAAAACAGCTGCATGTTAAGGAAAGCCCCTATTTTTCAAAACTGACAGAACAAACTATTAAAGGCAGTGAGAAAAAAACCCAAACCCCAAATCTGGGAAAGCAGTGTTCCCCTGAGAGCAACAGCACGTTGCCTACCAGCCCTGTGCCACTTCCTATTCTGTTCATTCTCAAGGAACAAGGCCTGGGTTCTGACCCATCCTACAAGCAGGGTCATTCAATCCCCTTGAAGATCCTGAAGTTAGTCACTTGGCACCAATCTCAAACTTTGGGACATTTAAATCAAGCTGTAAGAAGTCAAACCAGAATAACGGGTTGTCAGACTCATAACTTGCTAGGATAAGATTACTCAAACTTGGGATAATCCTTCTAGATCCTAATACAATTTGTAGAATTCACTCCAAGGAGGTATTCAATTCTGGGCTTTCATTAGGAACAGCTTTTGACTTTTAATCAGGTGAACAGGTTCAAAAAGTCAGGCAGCTAGGAGGAGTTTGGGCTTAGTTTAAACTCATGAGGCATGCAGATCTATGCCTCATTTATCCAAATCTATTAAGTTCAAAAGGAGCTCAGAGAAGACCCCAAAGAAGCACCATTTTAAAAAAGGTATTCTTCGTGCCATGCATCATCTGGAAGTCTACAAGCAAGTGTACCACTAGCAAACAAGAAGGACTGAGATCAATGTGCACTGCCAATACTGTGCCACCAACGTGACTCTATCATACCGGAACTATCAGAGGACGTTCATGTCCTGAGGTGAAGCATGGGCACTGTTCCTCTCTCTACAGGGCCTGAGAGGATGCGTGCTCTGGAAAAGTACAGCCACTGTGTGCTTAGAAAAGGTCCTCACTTGATGAAAAGCTTGGTTGCCCCCTCCCAACAAAACCTAAATTTACCATAAATACTACTTTCAGATATCTCCCTCTTAGTGACAGGATGGAATTAAAAGAACTATCACAACAGCAAAAAGATGGAAACAGCCCAGGTGCTCATCAACAATAGACTAGACAGAGAAACTACAGCATATTCTATAGGAATGTGGAATGAATGTGGAATACTACACAGCATTGAAAAATAACATACTTGTAAACAGTACACAGCATGGGTCAGTCTGGAAGACATGCTGAGTGAAATACCTCAGTCACAGAGAGACAAATACTGCATAAACCCATTACTATAAAAATAGGATCTAGATAGGGTGGGGCGAAGGGTGGGAGGAAAGAATGGATATATAATGAACACTTCACAGGAGTGTCACCCAGGACATTCTGAAAGCAATAGATGATAAACCACATGTATGACAATTAGGAATTTTACAACTGGGAAAGGGCGAGAAGTGTGCTTCAGTGAATGAGCAGTAGTTTTTAGAAATGGGGAGGGGCAGGGAGAACCATCTCAAATCCAATAAGGTAGAAACTGAACTATCTCCATAGTCCCTCATGGGGAATTACCTTATTTCCCCACATACCCCACAGTCATGTGACTAATGCACTCGAGCATATAACATGTATAGTAAGCACAGGAAACTAATGTGTAAGGAAGTGGGTGGCTTGCCAAAAAAAAAACCATGTATTTCACACCTTATTTGAGGGGAGATCTGGTGACCCTTTCCCTTCTCTCTGCCAGTTTCTTCCTTCAGGCATCCACCTGCTTCTCACTGACAGCCTTCTCCTTTTCCCTCCCTACTGTAAGATCCCTATCCCTCTGGTCAATCTGCCATGCTGCACCCAAATCTGATCCACCATGACACCATTTACTGTCCATGAGAGGCCCCCATCACTTTCAGAGTCAAGTCCATGACCACATGACATGATGTTCTCCCAGTCCAATGTGCACCTGTGCTCCCGCTGTGCATCTTATGAACTAGTCCACTGAAGACATGCACGTGGATGTTATACAACTTTACTCACAGCAACCTCACCCCAGGAACAACCCCAAGACCCTCTACCTTGTAATGTTTAAACAAACCATGATACGTTCATACAATAAAATGAACAAATTCCTAACAAACACATTATGGATCATTTCCGATGTTAAGCTGAGTAAAAGAGGTCAAAGAGTGTATTACATATATATTTATGAACATCAAGAAGGGGTAAAACTAATCTAAAGTGATAGAAATTAGATCAGAGGTTGCCTGAGATAAAAGTGAAGGGAAGGAGACTGCAAGGGAGATGTGGAACCTTCTTGAGAGGAAATGTTCTTTCTCTTGAGTAATGGCGATGATTTACTTTTATCAAAAGCCAGAGAAGGGCACAACTGCAACACAGTAATTCCTTTGTGTTAAAAAATCTACTGCCGTGGAGTGGATTTGGCCTCATATGACCCTAGAGGACAGAGTAGAGCTGTCCCTAGGGTTTCCAAGGCTGAAATTGCTATGTGATCCAACTGTCCTTATCTTTCTCCCATGGAGTCAGTGGTGAGTTGGAAGTACCAACTTTCTTGTTAGATTATCAATGCTTAATCGATAGCAGCACCAGGGCTCTTTTCATTCTCTTACATTCCACTCAACTCACTCCTGCTAGAGACAGAACTGACTCTTTCCAAACCTTCTAGCAGGTTTTTGGAGGCTGTAAATGGAATGGGAAGAGACTGCCTGTCTTTCTCCCAAGGAACCACCTGTGGATTCAAACTATCAGACAGAAGCCACCTTTGGGTTAGCAGTACAAATCCCTACCCCTAGGCCACCATTCACTGTACAAGATCTTAATAAAATAGATATTCTTAAGATAACGTTTGGGGGGAGGGGTGGACAGGGAGAAAAATGCAACAATGAATGTATGGAAATACAAAATCTCTATAAACATTCATTAAAAGTAATTTAAAAAAAATTTTAAGAAGCAGTGAATTTTAGAAAAAGATAACATTTGAAGAAATGCCACTTTCTAGTATGTTCTGGTGTTTCTGTGTGGTTGTTTTCTACACAGGTGAACATTTACACACTAGGGTCTTCTTGGAGAAGAATCAGCATAAGGAAAAGTCGAATCATGACACATTGTCTCTCTTCTGAGCTAAAAGTGCAGTTTTCTTAGAGAACAGTGCTGCTCTGCATTCTCACACCGAAAGTCGCCGTCACCGTGAGCTTCTAAATCACCTCTCTCTACCAACCTCTACTGAGCGGTCCAGCGTCCATTCTGATGCTCCAGTGGTATTCCTGGTGACCTTCAGGAATTCAATTTACTGTCCCTTAAAACATATCTATTCTTTATAAAGTGAGAAAATAAACTCTTTAATTTTTTTTTTTCTAGAAGGCACCAAGTTATGGTTAGAACTAACATCTAAGGCCTATTCCAGGAATTTAAGACTGGTTAGTACAGAACCAAGATTAACTCCAAGGATAAACTCACTCTATCACTTCATGACACACACACTCCCCCACCTGGATTTCTGTTCATGAAAACCATCTGATCCCAAGATCTCACCTTGAGTCCTTTGTGCGCTAGTGCCCGTCGATAGCAAGCTTTCACGTTCCCATCGTCCATCTGCAGTGCCTCATCGCAGTCCTGCTTCGCCTCGTCAAACTGGCACAACTTCAAGTGACAGAGAGCCCTGCCACAGTGCAACGTAATTCAGGGTTAGGGGAAGGGAAAGGTGGTGTCAATCTACACTTACACAGCTCATAAAAATCGGAAAAGAGCAAGCAAGTCTAGTTCTTTCCCACGGCAGCTCCCATTGCAACTTAATATTTTTATTGTTTTGTAAATTTAATTTATATTTACAAACACAAATATGGTATCTGTAAACAATATATGCTCCAGTTATAGCACTTTCTTTTAATATAAGAAATTATGGCTTTGGAATAAAACCGCAAATAAAGTCTTAGTCATTAGAGAGGGGACAATACGTAGCAGAGACAATTATGTGAATAAATACACAAGAATCTGAATAGCATGCTCTGAGAACAAGCAGCTAACAACATAATCAGACCAGAGGGGGAAGTAAAAGGTAGAGTTGGAGTAGTTATGGAAGACTTCCTGGAAGAAGGGGTATTTATGTTGAAAGCCAATGAATGAAGTGGGAAGCATCCAATGTAAAAGTGCTACACTGAGGAGGTCATGGAGGGATGCAGAGAAGCCAAGTGGGAGAGACACTGTACTCCCAAGGAGAAGAGTTCCATGGCCAGAGCACAGGGAGGAGGCTGGAGACATGGGCAGGTCAGATCAAGATGGGCCTTGCCATTCACAGCAAAAAGGTTGAGCCTTTTAATCCTCAGCTTCGTTGACAAGTTTCAAAATAGGAATGAATATGTTTACCACATTGCAGAAAGATCACTTGAGCTACAATTTGGAGAATGAGACCAGAGGGAACAGGAGTTTTCAGGGGCCACTGTGTGGGATGTGGCAGGCACCAGGAAGAGCCAGTAGTGGCCCAGAGCAAGTGAGAGATGGTGAGGTTGGGAAGGGTCACACAAGACCACCAGGGTTTGCTGACTGGAAAAGGGGGTGAGATCCTTTGGGGATGAGAACCAATAGTGAGTGAGAGAAGGAGTCTGGGGAGGGTACAGGCCTGACGCTCAAGAAGACAGATCTGGGAGAAAGGGGGAAAAGGCCCAGAGAGCATGCAGACAAGAAAAAGAAGCCAGCCTTTCAGAGCCCAGGAACACCAGGGAAAGAAAAACCTGCAGAGGTGGCAGAGTGGCACCAGGCCAGGGAGCTGCCTGACACTGCAGCCAGGGCAGAGTGGCCTCAGGAAAACCAAGTTGCCAATAATGCCCAAGGCCACAAAGGCTACAGAGGCACATGAGGAGCAAAAAAATATTGCCATGGTTGTCTCTGTTAAGAATCTCCACTGCAATCCTGAACACTGGATTCAAATCCTCTAGCTGTTCCATGGGAGGAGGGGCAAGCTCCCCTCTTCTGATCACCGTCTCTGAAAACCCTCCTGGAGGGTCAGCTATGGGTCAGTTCCAACTTGATGGTACACAACAATAATAAAACAAGAACAACGTGGTAAGAGGTTGAGTTAAAAAAATAATCTGAAATTGCCAGGGAAACTCATGCTGTGAGTTCTTTTAGAACCTCTCTAACGCATCCTGTTACCCCATCTCTACTCACCCCTGAAAACTCCCAAATCACCATAATCTAAATAGACACCTTAGAATCTAAAGATGCGGGTCCCCCTCCTCTGTGCCCCGCACTGCTTCCTAAGACAATCTAATGAATTCTTCCTCCTCCCAGGCTGGGCAATGCTCCAGCCGAGCTAGCTGCAAAGGCAAACAAAATTTTAAAAAATGCCAAGTACGTGAAATGCCAAATCAGAGCAGGACAGACAAAGCAGCAGGAGCTTGCAAAACCCACAAGGAGTCCGTCAGACCTCCAGGCCCTCCGCATCTCATTTTTCAATCTCCCCTGAATTTCTATAGCTCCACCTTTTTGGAAAAACACCCATTTTGTACAATTTGTTAGATAAATTTCCAGCATCATGAAAAACAAATTTTTGCACTTACTAATTCTATCTTTTTTAAGATAAAAGGCATTAACTTAACAAATGTATCAAATTTAAAAGAACTTGCCTGTTTGTATATATGGTACATTCCTTGCTAATCTTTAGGCATTCATTGTATTTATTAAGGGCATCTTTGTAGTTTTTGTTCTTTACAAATTGATTTCCTTCTTCCTTTAGGGTTCTAAACCTTTTTTCATCTATGAGAGGAAAGTTTAAAAAGAGAGAAAGAGAAATTATTCATATACGCACCTTCACATAGTCTTAAATACCTCTGTAAAAAAATCTTCTACAGCAAACTGCAAAATATTGCCATAAGGGAATACCAGAACACACTGGAAAATAGTGTTTCTTCAAAAGGTATTTTTAAAATATCAATTTTATTAAGGTACGGGTCCTTGGAGAGGGACATCATGCTTGGGAGGGTGGAGGGACAGCGCAGGAGGGGAAGACCCTCTATGAGATGGATTGATTCAGTGACTGGGGTAATCGGGATGGGTGTGTCAGAGGCGGTGCGGTTGGCGCAGGATAGAGCAGGGTTTAGGGCTGTTGTGCATAGGGTCACTATGAGTCGGAAACGACTCGACGGCACATAACAACAACAACAACATAATTTAATGAATGATGGTCACCAGAGCACCCTTAATAAAAATGCAGCTGCCCTTAACTGAGCAAATACTTTGTGCCATGTGCCACTGACAGTAGACTTTCAAAAACTCTAGGAAAATGGAATCTAGAAGTAGCTATGATTTTTCCTGCGAATGCTGAGTTGTGTCAAAGCTCTGGCACATGTTCCTTGACACCTTTTTCTAATCACTGAAAAGACAGGGGTCCAACACTAGCCATTCTGTTCGTTGCCCTTCCAAATGAAACCCAGTGGTGTTTCTAAGCAGGCAAGAGGAACTGAGGTGTAAACTGACTATACAGCTCAGAAACAGAGAGAGTTGACCCATATTGATTAAACACTCACTAAGAGCTCTGATGTGAAAAGCACTCTAAGCGGCACCCACTTCCTAAACGACATGCCTCGGGAAACTCTATGAACTTTGAGAAACGATGATAGTTACAGAAAGGCTTCAGGTCTTTTGTTCATAGGGTCGCTATGAGTCGTGCTCAACTCAACAGCAATCAACAACAAGAAGAGCTCTGATGGCTTAATGGTAAGAAATTGCACTGCCAACTCAAATGGTACATGCTTTAAATCCATCAGCTGCTCCATGAAGAAAGATGTGCAATCAATTCTTGTGTGATTTACTGCCTCTGAAAATCCACTAGAGGGGTCAGCTAGAGGTGGGTCAGCTCTGGCTCGATGGTACACAATAACAACAACAACAACAGATTAACAAAGTGTAAAGTGGCTTAATGTTAAGGAATTGTGCTGCCAAGCCTAAGGCACCCAGTTCTAATCTACCAGCTGCTGTGCTGGAGGAAAACGGGCAATCTTCTGTGTGATTTACCGCCTCTGAAAAGCCACTCAAATGTAAGCTATGGGTCAGTTCCAACTCAATGGCACCCAACAACAACAATAACATGTAAAGTAGGCAGATAGGCAGATAGGGGGATATGGGTAAATTAATTGCTATGATATAAGGCAAGCGTTTACTTGCTATAAAGTTATGTTACAGGATTTTTAAAAAAATTATTATTTTAAACACACATTATTTTAGCCTTGCCATATAGGTAATCTAATAGACAGCTGCATGGTATGATTTCTTAATATTATCAATGCAATTATTTTGTTGTAGTATAAGCATACACAAAGGGGCCTCAGAACAAAGGCCTGGAGACCTACTGCCACGAAGTCAATCATTGCAAAGTCTTTGTAGGACAGCCCTACTCTGACACTCACAGCGGGGCCATAAAGTTGAAGGTGGCTTGACGGAAACTAGCACAGCGTTTAAAAAGTCAGCAAATGTGCTATTTTACATGCATATATCCATTTATCTCCGACAACCAACTTGTGAGATAGTTATGAGTATCTTCTCCCTGTCTTATACACTAGGACACTGGAGGTGTGAAGCAACTTTTTAAGATTATGCATTACAAGAGGGTGAAGAAGTCTGATGTGGGCCTTTATGCTCTAATTTTCCTGTTACAGTGTGAACACACACACACACACACACACACACACACAGGTACGTGCATGCACGCACACATACACACACACAGAGATCAAGATAACCTTCCAAAGAAAGGAATGTTGGGCTCCACCCCTTGGACACCTGGTTGGTGGTGGCTGTCAGAATCACCCGCGTGGGCGGAGGCTCCCTCTGCTGTAGGACGCCAAGCACGCACTTGCACGGAGGCGGGCACAGAAGGGATGGGTGACAGCTTCTCCCGCCAGTTTGGGCCATCCAGATCCAGTAAAAGTCTGGTTATCCTAAAAAAAGAAAAGGAGTTTTTCCTCTATAGATCAAATATTTTGCTATTCATAACTCAAGAGGTCATATCACATCTTACAAGAGTAAGATCTACAAAAACTAGGCAAATGTGTACTTCTGGTAGAAAACAATCTTGAGCAATTTTCTGTCCACGTACATGACAATGACAGAACTTTAAGCTGCTGTGAACTAAGTACCTCTTGACCATTTTTTTCATTGTTGTTGTTATGAACCATGCAACTTTCACTGCTTTTTTATTTAAAAGGAAAGATATTTCCCAATTATTAAAAACTTATTTGTATATATTGAAAACTTTTTAAAAATTTAAATTTAATTCTCCCCCCTCCCTTGCTGTATACCATTGGATTGGACCTAGCTGGCACAGGAGGAGACTGCCCCTCCTCCAGTGGAGCACCTGGTAGATTCAAACATGTGCACCTTCGGGACTGCAGCGCAGCCTCTTGCCACTAGGCCAACAGAGCTCCCTAAATTTAACTTTTTAAAGAGTGAAACATAAAATTAAAAATCTGGGAGGAATTCAGTAAAATGGCACACAGCAACAAGAACAATATTCAATATCAGTATTAAGAATAATCAGAGGTTCTTTAACATTTCTACAGCCGAACTGTACACTATAGTCGTTAAAAGCAAGAGTACAAAACTGACCACCATAACTGAGGAAGAGTGAGTGATCATGGCATGCTGGGTTTTTTTCTAAAACATTTACATATATGGTTAAGACTGTCTTACTTTATATATTTTTTATCCCTAAAATAACCCACCTACTCTGTTTTTACATGATCAAAGATGAAAGCATGGGATATTATTGTCTATGACAAGGGGCCTTGTATTAAAGGGATTCAATAAAGGCCATCATACTTCATAGAGCATCACTGATTATCACTTTCTTGATAATTTAAACATCAAATGTCACAGTTCTATTTTAAAACTATAATGTAATTTCCTCCTCTGGGTTGAAAAAAAAAAGTATTTCTTAAGATTAAGAAAATTTACTGGTAATCAGTAGCACACATTCAAGTCACTTACCTCGGGAGTTTCCCACATTCTTTGTGGGAGTAATGTTTATATTTATACATACAGATTAATATAATGCATATACTTTGCCTACAGTTTCTTAAAGTGAAAATTCAGTATTTGATCTTTGGTTATGAAAACCAAATCTTTTTTTTTAAGTGTAAAAAGACAAATCAAACAATCAATGTCTGACCATCCACAGCTGTAGAAGAAAAAGATGCTTTAGGAAAAAAATTTTCAAGCAAAACTTGTATTACCAGCAGAGAGGAAGGAAGAAGCAGTTGAAAAGAGATGATGTGTTGCCAGGGAGTAAATAAGTATATGCAGGGGAACTTAACATATAAGATTCCTAGAGGAAGAAAGGAATATGGTTAATGGAAGATAGAAACCAAATAAGCACAGATGTTTAAATAATAATAATAAGCTGCTGCTGTTTAATTTTTTAAAATGAACTAGAATAGATGGAAAAGCAAGTGTAAGCATGAGATTCACAAAAAGGAATAGTGACTTTAAAAATGGATATTTTATATAAAATTATATGTGGCAAAAGTGGAATAAGCTGCTTCTTAGATACTGATGTATCAATAAAATCAATTAAAAATGACTGAATTTTAAAAGTCAATTTATCTAAAAGAGCCAACATCGGTATACCTAAAAAGCACTAAAAGTTTCAGATGTGAATAATCATGGTCTCTCAGTCACAACATTTCTCTCTTCAAGCCTAAACTGTATTTCCTAAATTCCTTGTTATCTGCCTTCTTAAACATAACACCGACTTTCATTATGCTTTCTTAAACATAAATGTCAACCCAACCTTTGGTATGACAAGCCACAGTCAAAGATGGCCTGATCTCTCGCTGGAGCCTCAACCACTAATCTTATTGTCTATAATATTGTACCTGGGCAAAATCTGTCTTCTGTTATGTCTCCTTCACAATGCCTAGGTAGATTTTAGTCTTTTAAAAAAGAAAGGCGATGTCACATTTTTCCTTTTGTCTTTTTAGAGGACATGGAACATGGTACACTAGCCCAGCACTATCACCGTGGAGCACATACATTCTTAAAGCTATGCTTTGGGGAAAATGGGATGAGACAGTATTACACATAACCAGAAATATTACCCCACCAATACTTTGCAAATTTTAACTGGGAGCAAGCTATGAAGTCAGGAAATTCTTATCTTCCCACTCAGGAGGTAAAGAGATCATTCTAAAAATTAGATCCAACTTCCTTGCTATTGCACCATTATAAAATGAGTATTCATTTTAGAGTAGTGTCAATATACAAGGGCATATAAACAAGTATCTAGCAGCTCATGAAGACATCTAGTCTCTGGAGGAGAAACAATAGATATGCTTCTACTGATTAAAGTAAAGCCTAAAAGAAACTATTCAAAAGGGCACTTTTCTCTACATTTCTGAAGCTAATCTGATGGTTAATACTGATTTAAGACTCAGTGAAAACATTTTTCTAACCCTGTAGATACAGACATATGCTAAATTAAATCTGTAAACTCTGAGCACCAGATATGAGCTACATGCACATCAGTGCTTAAAAAAAATACTCATGGTAATACATTAACCAGAGAATAAATGATACAGTGAGAGGAACAACGGAAATTGTATTCAGGGACGGCTAGAAATTAAGCTAAAGAGAGAAAATAATTTGGTTTTAATGGAGAGAAAAAGGGATCATTCCTGCAAAATACAGAAATTACCAAACGTCCACATGTAGACATCTTTCTCGAGGGGGGAGGAATCTAATTCCATTTTAAAACAAGCAGCCCTTCAGGAGGTAAGTTCCTCAGGTGAGATTACCTGTTAATACTGTCATTTGCTATCTGGATTCCACAGTCTATCTGTAACACAGTTTTATAATCCACATACGCTTTCCGATACTGCTCTAGAGTTTCATAAGCCATTGCTCGTCTCAGAAGAGGTTTCACTGAGAATGGATGCAGTTCCAGAGCCCTGAAAAGAAAAAAGGCATTACAAATTATTCATTTCTGAGCCAATATTCTGCCAATGGTTAGTTCTTGGCTGACTGTATACTGCAGTACTGTCATGACAGTTTAGGTGCTGTGGAGCCAGTTTTCATTCCTGACAACTCTATACATGCAGAGTAGAATTGCTCTATAGGGATTCAAGCCTGTGACCTCACAGAAGCTGATTGCTAGAACTGTCTTCCAGCTAGGAATAAAGTACTGACTGACCATTTGTATCCCATGGGGACTCGCAAATCTGTACATGTCTCATACCTCATCTCAGTAGCTATTACGTCCTAGACAGGCAAAGCAGTACTCATACACTTTGGAGATTCCTCTTTCCCCACTGAGGCTAGAGTAAATGCTCTGGCTGCAGGGAGTGTGCCTCTCACATACCTCAAGGACCCAGAGAAGCTCAGCAGAGTACCAGGCCCATAGCAGCCTTCCAAAACATGCAGGCTATTGTTACTGTTGTTGTTAGCTGACATCAAGTCAAGCACGACTCATAGCGACCCTACGAACAAAAGATCTGAAACCAGGCTACTGGCAGATTAAAAAGTAAAGGCTTGTTTGCACTAGTATATTTAATAAGGCATCTCAGCTGAAACCCATAAAAATCTGGATTTTGAAAAATCAGCCTTCTAAAATGTAATAAAGCTTATTATTATTTATTTGTTGAATACAGTCTTCGTATGAAGATGAAAATAAAGAATAAGACATACGCTAATTTCTAATAAGCCATAGATATTCATCTTGCATGTTTCAGACCACAACTAGAGTTCCTACTAAAGAGAGATTTCAAGGTTATGCTCTTTGGTTTTGTTTAAAGCATCTGTTTATAAAGGTACTTCAATGCTTAATGTGTTTCATGATACTTTGAAATAAATTTTAAAATATTATATTTATGAAAAAAAATCATTATACTCTGGCATTTAACAAAATCCCACTAAAGCCAGAAAGAAGTGCATCCCATTCATCCCACTTCGCAGTCTTAAGATGCACAGACTGTGTATGCAGTCAACTAACCGATATCCACGCAGGACTCTTTGCAGTGAGGATGGCAAGTGTTAACTCTTAACCTAAGGGCAATTTCTATGCCATATACTTAACTTGCTTCAGGAAAAACATGGGCAAGTGCTGCCCAGTTCGTTCCCACTTTTTTGGCTATCTGCCTACGAGCTAGTCCACAATGATCTGGCAAAAAAGGAGATGCAGTGGAGTGTCTGCGTGTGTTAGTCACTGCAGACGAAAATATCTGACTGGACAAGAAACCTGCGAAGTAAACACTTACGGGTTCAATTTGCAGGTGAGGAAACTAAGATCCACAGCAGTAATCTGCCAGCATGCCTGCTTTTTTGAATTAAAGCTTCACAAAGGCAAGTCCATCCTGAACACAACTCTATTCTCGGTGCCTGGATCAACACCTGAGCTGTAAGAGGCCCCCAGCTAGCCTGCTGAAAGCCTTCAGGGCTTCCAGCCTTCAGAGACTGTACTCTTTAGGCCACAACAGACATACAACACTGCAAATGATGAAAGTGTGTCATTTGCCGTGACTCCTTCACAGCTCCACCTCATACCTGTTAACCCACTGCAGTCAAGTCAAATCCCAATCACAGTGGCCTTATACAGATATACCATTGCACACGCCAGTTCTGCACCATGGAAGGTGGTATTCTTAGAAACACTGATAAACCTAGCTGGTAACATTTCTCTGAAAAAGAACCAATTTGGCTCTGCTCTTATGTTGGGACTATGAAAGACTTTAATGATCTTCTTTGGACTCTACTGGATTTGGAAATTTCTCTACAAGTATGTGTTACTTTTGTAACCAACAGAAGTTATTTTTAAAAAAAAACACAAAAAAAACCCCTCAGATAGGGGAGCTCTGGTGGCCTAGAGGCAAGAAGCTCCACTACAATCCCAGAGATATGTGGTTTGAATCCACCAGGTGCTCTGCTGTAGAATGAGGGGCAATCTCCTCCTGTACCAGTCAGATCCAATTTGGTGGTACACACACACACAAAATAATAAAAGAAAATAAAAAATAAAAAAAAAACAACCGTCAGATCAAGTGAAAAATATGTGAACACTGAAAAATAGATTTCTATGAGCAAAGAGATCACAATGAGACTAAGGCAAAGGAAGACACTGAGGGACACACAAGAGTAAAGGCTAATTATGGTTAATTCTCTAACATAAACAGTCCTGCCACAACAGTAATAAATAATTTGTGGCTAGAGGTTGATATACATGGTAAATAGATGCGGCAGGGTCTACAGAAGTAAATTGTTAATCTATAACAGTGCTGCCAAGTTGGAACTGACTCATAGCTGACCTTTCAGCGGTTATAAAAAGGATACAAACGGCATAGGAGGAGACTGCCCATCTTTCTTCCACACAGCAGCTGGTGGATTTGAACCATGGGTTTTGGGGTTGGCTGCACAACTCCTTACCATTAGGCCACCAGAGCTCCCTACATATCTGTGTATGGTTGTAAATATTTCTACACACATATATGTAAATGGGGTGTGAGTGTGTAGAAGTAACTACACATCTCAAGAGACTGAGCTTGAAGGCTTTGAATGTGAAGGACCATAGTTTTAGGGGAGACCTAGGTCAAATGGCATAACACAGTTTGTAAAGATGTTATATAACTTAGTTTGGTGAGTAGTGTCTAGGGTCTTAAGAGCTTTTGAGCAGTCACTTAAAATACAACTATTGAAAGGGGGCAGGAATTCTAACTACTGGTCTCTTCCTTTCTGGAGCAAATGAGAGGGAAGAAAACTCAAATGAGCAATTAATTAGTCCAGAGGGCTAGGAGCCCACCTGAATCCCAGTGTCCTCGAACCTGTGACCTGAAGAACTAGATTGAGCTTGGTCAGCACTACCAACTGCTTTGACCAGAAATACAATAAGTGGGACCTGTTAAAGAGTGGATGAAAAATACAGAATCAGATTTATAAAAAAGGCCAAAGTTACTGGTGTGACAGACAAAAGGAACCCTGGGGATTACTGCCCTAAGACAACCTTCTAACTTGAAACTCAAGACTCTCCCAGAGGCCGCCTTTCCGCCAAATAATAGACTGACCTATAAAATAAACAACACGACCTGAGAGGAATGTGCTCTGAAGAACAATCAACTGTAAGAGACCAACAGGGCAATATCCACCCAAAAGCAAAGTGAGAAGGTAAGGAGAGGCAGGGAACCAGATGAATGGATATGGGGAACCCAGAGAAATGGGGAGAGTGCTGACACATTTCAAGGATCACCACCAAGGTCACAGAACAGTCTGTATATATACTTATTAAAAACTGTATATTCTCTGTAAACTTTCACTTAGGGTATAATGAAATGCTTAAAAGGGGAAGGAGCAATATCCAGCATCTGTACCACTGCCTTAAATTTATCTGAGTTTAGAAGAGGAGCCCTAGGGGCACAATGTTTAAGAGCCTGGCTGCTAACCACAAGGTTAGAAGTTCAAATCCATCCAGCAGCTCCACAGGAGAAAGGCCTGTCAATGTGCTTCTATACAGATTACAGGCTAGAAAATTTTACTCCACATATTAGAGATGATGAGGACAGCACAGCACAGGATAGGGTAGAGAGGTATTGTTCATAGAGCTTCTGGTGGTCTACTTGACAGCAGCAAACAACAATTCTGTCTCACAGCATCACTAGAAGCTGGAAATCTGCTCAGCAGCACCCAACAACAATGCTTAGGGGATATTAACTACATTAATAGAAATGTGAATATACTTGACCCAGCTTTGGAATCTAAAACTGAGTGGGACAATGCTTTTCATTTTTAGCACCTCCCAGCCTAGAAATAAAAGCTTTATTTTTTCTCTTCTCTAACTACAGTTCTGAAATCCTCTAGGAGTTTGTGAATATACATTCCACTAAGGAAAATGACTGCCTATTGGTAAAAAAGATGCTCTGATGGCCTAGTTGTACCACCAACCTAGGGCACATGGTGCTAATCCACCAGCTGCTCCATGGGAGAGAGATGGACAATTGCCTCCCATGTGATTTACAGCCTTTGAAAACCTGCTGGAGGTCAGTTATGGGTTAGTTCCAACTTGACAGTACATAACAACACTGATAAAAACAAATTCAGGCAATTTTAAAACTAAAGCTTACAGAGCTGGCTGTCCACCCAAGTTAGTATAGTCAGGACTTTAAAAGGTCTTCCAATTTCAAGTTCCTATGAGTCAGAATTAGCTCAATGGCAACTAATAATACCAACAGTTTCAAGTATTCCAGAGAGCTGCAAAGATACACAAAATCAGACAAATACAAAGCAACATACAACTACAGTCTCCCCAGCTATCCTTAGTGGAAAGTCAATGAAAAAAATCTGGTGTGGTTTGATGGACATATAAAAAGTTATGGTTCACTAAGATATATTTTCTGCACTTACATTTTACATATTTATGTTTAGATATTATGCAACCTGTCTTCCTGATTCAGGTAGAGATTTAAAATAGAAACATGGAGATACTGAGGAGGGCAGGTCTTGAGCATCTTCCAAGATCATCCTTGAAACACTCTACTCTCTGAAGAGTCTCCAAACATACATAGTTTCATGAAATAAATCTGTGCCTAAGCATTTGCACATTTAAAATAAAATCATTTTTCTCAAATTGCAGAATGAGTTCTTTTAAAAGGGAAGGTTCTCCCTCCACCCTACTTTAAGTTTTGCCCCATATGTTTTTCTTTTTAGATATGTGACTTCTGCTGCCACTTGTCTGGGCTTAGAGGGTTCATGGGACACAAATAAATTCTTCAAAGAACAAAGAGAATGAACTAAAAATAGGAAACACAATCTCCTTTTAAAATGTACACAATTTTCTTGAGATTAAAAGTATCTTCAGAGTGAAAAACAATGTATACGAACTTTGTAAGTAAATAAGTTGTTGTTGTTATGTGCCATCAAGTTGCCTGAAACTCAAAGAGACTATGTATAACAGCTCTGAAGCCTGCCCTGTTCTGAGCTAGTCTAAAAGAAAAATATTATCAAAATAACAAAAAGAAATCCTAATAGGCCAGCTCAACTCACTTCATCTCATTGCTGTTTAGTCAGAACTGATCCAAAGTTTACCTTTCAGTGAGTTTGGGAGGCTGTAAATCACAATGGAGGAGACTGCCCATCTTTCTCCTGAGTCATCCCTGGTAGATTTTAACCACCAGAAAGATAAGGCCTTTGGCTTAGCACCACAACTCCTCTGACATCTGTGTGTGTAAGTCAACGAGTCATAACTAGCCCTCCAGCAGGTTTTCAAAGGCTATAATTCACAACATAGGAGATCTCACCTTTATTCCTTGGAGGAGATGGTGGATTTGAACTTCATGCCTTTATGGTTGCAGCACAACTCTTAAACCAGAGATTCCTATCTATAGACTGTTGTCCTGTGTACTGTTGAGTCAGAACAGACTCACAGCTGATGGTCCAGTGTGTTCTCAGAGGCTGTATATTGCACAGAAAGAGAATGCCCATCTTTTTTCCCCACAGAGCAGCTAGTGGATTTGAACCATGTACCTTAGGATTGGCAACTCAATCCTTACCACTAAGCCACTTGGCCAGCAGAACATACAGTAATTTTTGCTAATTAATCCTAGCTCATAAATATTTCAACATGTTCTCAAAAGCACTCTGGCATTAAAACAAGTTTGAGAACCACTGCTGTGGAGGAAAATCACTCCATATTGGAGCCCCGTGCCCCTTACACTGGGACTCATTTGCCAGGTGACAAAGAAGACATCCAAGTAGGTCAGTGCCTTAAGAGGTCAGTGTTAACCAGCAGAGCCAGATTCTTTAGCTCAGAACAGTCTTATCTAAGGCACTTTACCTAAATCTCCCCTAAGGGCTATTTCCCAGGATCCCCCAGAAGCAAGCCTCCATTCTACGCTCCTTGGACACCATGGCAAGAGTCTCATCTTTGATTTCCTCCTGAATCTACACTGAAATGTAAGGAATTTTACTTAGAAAAATTCTGCCTTTTTTCTCCTTTAAAGACAAAATGGGTCTACTGTTCTATGGCAGCCCTAACTTGAAGGGCCCTAAGTTTCAACTAAAGAGTTCTGAATTCACTCAATGCAGAAAGACAGATGTCAGGATTAGAAACAGACACTTGAGCTGAAAGGTTCTTGGCTACAAAACACAAAGTGCCTGATGCCTTTCAAATATAGATGGTCTTATTGGTTAGATACGGTGAGGGGAAAGGTTTTACAATTAGCTCTCCAGGGAAAGAAAAAAGTTCAGACTTGTGGTTTTTGACAACTTTTATGGAACTGGTACTTCAATCATTGCTACTTTAACAGCCAAACTGCCTTCAAATGTCTCACAAAATCTCAAAAATGTGATTAGCTAGTACTAGTCAGCAGAGCTCTGATGGCATAGTGGCAAGACTGGGCTGCAATCCAGAAGGAACAGCTTCTCTGCAGGAGAAAGATGGGCAATCTCCTCCCATGCACCTCTGGAGAGTAAGCTATGGGTCGGTTCTGATTCTACAGTACACAACAACAGGCAGCAATATGGGAGCTCTGGTGACCTAGTGATAAGAATCTGTACTGAAATATCAAAGGCTCCTGGTTAGAATCCATTCTCCTCCCAAATGATTAATCGTATCAGAAAACCTGCTGGAGGGTCAGCTATGGGTTGGAGGGTCAGCAATGGGTTTGTTCCAACTTGATAGTACTCAACAAAACAGTCAGCATAGCAGCGAGCTCTCGTGGTCTGGTGGTAAGGAGCTGAGAACCTACCGGGGGTACATGGTTTGAATCCACCAGCTGTGCATCCACAGCTGCACTTATTAACCATGCTCTGTGGGAGGAAGATGGGCAATGTCGTCACATTTAATTCACCACCTCTGAAAACCCACTGAAAGGTCAGCTACGAGTGGGTTCCAACTCCAAGGCACCTAACAAGTCAGCACAACAGAGCATGGGGTCTAAAGTTGGGTCAAAACTAATATAAATGCTGTTTATTTTACATTTGAATATGTAAAATTTGGTGTGATGCCTTTGAGTAGCGTGGTGTTAGAGAACAGCACTGAATATCCCAAGGGCTGGCAAAAGAACAGACAGGTCTGTCCTGGAGAAAGTGCAGCCAGAGTGCTCCTTGGAGGGAAGGATGGTGAAGCTTCACCTCACATTCTCTGAGCAGGTTCTTAGGAGGGGCTATTACTTGGAGGAGGACACTGTATTAGGAAATGTGGAGGGTCAGCAAAAGAGAGGAAGACCCTCGACGAACTATACTGACAGAGTGACTGCAGCAATGGGCACAGCACAGGACAAGATTCAGTTCTGTTGTTCACAGGGTCGCTATGAGCCATACTTGACTTGATGGCACCTAACAACGGTAACAGCCAACACAACAATAGGTGGGGTCAAAAAACCGAGCCAAAATGAATATAAAAATTATTTCTTTTAAATTTGAATATGTAAAACTTGGCACATATTCAAGAGAGTCTCAAGACCTTTTTATATCATAGGCATGTAGCAAGCTTTGACCCATGTCAGCAAGTTGATTCTACTGAAAGAAAAAAAGTGTCAACCATATAAACTGAGTATCCACATAATTTACTTTCCAAACTAGAACTCTGAGTATGAAAGGGACTGATATATTAATAATTATACTAGACAACCAGACTAAATCAGAACTGTATTAGTCAAATCAGAAGTGACTTATTTTTAAAAGCATTACTAATCCTTTCTTGCCAAAAGATTTCTGAACCAGACTCAACTGTTTAATAGTAAAAGAAAACACTGCAGGCAAACCTTATTTCACTGTGTTGTTTCTCAGGTACTGGATAGTTTACAAACTGAAGATTTACTGACAATTTTTGTGTCAAGTAGGTCTATTAGGACCATTTTTCCAATAGCATGTGCTCACTCTGAGTCATTGGGTCATATTTTAAGAATTCTCACAATATTAAGACTTTTTAATAATGTCCCTGAACACATAACTATACTACAGTATAATGTACTATTGCAGAAGGATGGGCAATCTCCTCCCATGTGATTAACTGCCTCTGAAAATCCGCTAGAGGGTCCAAGCTATGAGTCGGTTCTGACTCCACGGTACATAAAACAACAATAATGTAATATATACACTTAACATACTACAGTATAATGTAAATGCATTCTAATACAGTAAATACATGATACTACAATAAGAAGTTTTGTCTCACATACTTTGATCATGTTGTTAGGAAGTGCTATTCTTTGGAAAGGGACATCATGTTTGGAAAGGTGGAGGGTCAGCAAAAGAGAGGAAGAATCTCAGTGAGATGGACTGTCAGTGACAGCAGTAATGGGCCCGAATGTCAGAGATGATGAGGATGGCACAGAATAGGAGAAGGTTCAGATCTGGTGTTCACATGGTCATTATGACTCAGTGGCACATAACAACAATATAATGTAAATATTAACATTTATATGGTACCAGGAAAGCAAAAAAAAAAAGTGACTCACTTTACTGCCGTTTTCTAGAACTGTATGTACACTGCACTATCTCTCAGGCATGTCTGTACTTTATACATGTGAACATACTCACCCCAGTATATAACTTAGTAAGCACCATGGGTGGGTACTGAGCTTTAAGGAGTACAAAGCTTCTGATCTCAAGAAGCTTAAAATACAAGGCACTGGACAACAGTACTTTTAAGAGTGACGGTGCAAGCATTACAGATGCACAAAAGTATAGGACCTTCCTCTGACAATGGCCAAGGAGGCCGAAAGGAGGAGGTAGCTGGGAGAATGCAAAAGCAAACGTGTGCAGAAACTACTCCAGGAAGCAGACAAAGGCTGCTTACTTGGGCAAAGGCTCCAGGCCTGGGGTGAATGAGGAGCAAAGAGGCCATGGCAAGCTTGGGCAGTGTGGTGACATTTATGATTCGCTCAAAGACGACACTGAATGCCCACTTTAAAACAATCTGAGCAGTGTAATGCTTTAGGAAAAGCTACTCTGATCCGGGGGTAGACTGGAAGAGGCAGAGACACTGCTCAGAAGGTTTTTCCAATAATCTAGAGATGATGTGAACACTGCACAAGTCAAGAGCTAGCACTGAACTTTTTTATAAAGCACAACCCTTTATAACGGATTTCCCATATGTGCAAGGAAAAGAAATCGGACAATATATTGCCTTTTGTGCGAAAAGAGGATATGAAATATTTCACCCATTCATTCTATTGAAAGGGTAACAATTTCTTGAGAAACGTGAAAACATGCATTTTTACCTGTTACAATCTTGAATGCAGCCACTGCAGTTTCCTTCTTTTAGGTAACATGCTGCTCTATTTGAATATAAGATACTTAGATCATCTGCACTTTCACTTCCTAAAAAGCACATTTAATTGAATATGGTTAAAATCCATCAGCAAAAACACAAATCACCAGAATTAAATGAAGTCGGAGGTGGCACTGCAGTCCCGCAGCCGGCTGACGATGCAGCGCGCTCCCCTGGAGCTGGGTTATTCCTGCCATTGCCACCGAGGATAAGCAGCAAAACCCGCGCGGGAGGAGAGATGCCAGCAAACCGGCTTGGCCGCCGGGGCACATGCTCTGCATTCCAATATATGGCTCACAAGTGGCCGGGTCCCACGCAACCCTTAGTCAAGGGAAGGAATTTAGGGCTGCCAGTCCCTGGTCACTCCGGAGGGGGGGGGGGAACTGCGCCTGTCCTGCGGCAGCCGGGGACTCGCGGGGCGCACTCACCTGCAGACTCCAGCTGGGCAATCGCCGCCGAGTACTTGAGCGCCGCCTCCGAGAACTGGCCGCTTTTAAACAGCTCGTTGCCCTGGTTCTTCAGGGCCTCGGGGGCGCTCCGAGCCGGCA